TTGGCTATGTGAGAAATCTGACATCGCCTGACATGTCACTTAGCATATCTCGTCAGTCGAAGCCAAAAGAAGTGCTATCTCATGAGTGTGAGAGTCTTGTCTCTGCCAAAAAGAGTATCCCATCACAATCATTCCTAGGATGTTAACATGAATGGCCTTTTGAGACTATAGTGAAGTTTTCCTCGCAACTTGAAACTGGTTCTTGTAGTCTTGATGTTTGAATGAGATGTGTGAAGACTATCCCACAACAATCATGCCTGGAACATTGCGTGAATGATATTTGGAGTCTGGAGTGTTGGTTTCCTCCCTCCCTCACATTGAATAATGCTTCAAAAGGTGCAAAGGAGGTTCCTTCACCAGATAGATGATATATATCATCTATAAACAAAGTAGGGGCTCGACATCTCAAACTTGAAGAAAATGCCAAACAAAACTTTGTTTCTTATAGACAGTGTCAAACTGATGTGTTTTGAAAAATTTGTGATTGTTGAGTAATAAAATAGTGTCTCAATATAGTATGAGATCCATCATAAATGTAGATAAAAAAAATGTTGTAGGATAAGACATTGCAAATTTTATGTGAAAAACCCTGGAAAGAAAAAAATTACAGGGCCTGATGTAGTCAAAGTAATCCATTAAGAAATTGTAAGTGCATAGACCCACTCTCCTTTTGGATTACAGAAGATGAAATTACACTATTAATATACATCAGTTGGCTCAATAATAATAATCATAATATGTTGTGAAGGTCATAGTTGATTGTTATAGAGTCAGTAGTCCATCGTGAATATTGTAGATGATGGTTGTAGTGCTAGTTTATCATAGAGGTCAGTTGAAAGTTGTGATAGTAGTTGGTCATGTAAGTTGTAGGCGATAGCTTCAGGAGCGTTGGTTGTCCACAATGTTTGTAATAGGGAGTTGTGATAGCATTCATAGATCGTAGTAGATCACGTAGGTTATGCTTGACAATAATAATGTTTGTAGACCACAGAGTTGGAGATGGGAGCTGCATGAGATGTGAGTTATGTAGACTGTAGTTGGTCACATAGATCATAGTGATGAGCCATAATAACATCCGTAGGCCACAGAGGTCGGAGTTGAGAGCTGCATGAGCTATGGACGACAAAAGTCATAATTGGTAACGTAGACAGTAGTGGTGAGCCATAATAATTTATGTAGGTCATATAAGCCACACTTAAGAATTGTACGAGCTGTGAATCACGTAGACCATAATTGGTTACATAGGCAGTAGTGTTTAGATACACGGAGAGAACTTTAGAAGTGCAGAGAAAGTCATCTTATGTGGAGTATGTTAACATCTCAGACTTGAAGGCTGTGTCAAACAGAACTTTGTTTCCCACAGACAGAGCCAAATTAATGTGTTTCAGAAGATCCACAATGGTAGAGTAATAAATTTGTGTCTCAGTATAGTGCGAAATCCATCATAAATACAAATAAAAGAAAATTAGTAGGATGAGACATCACAATTTTTACGTGAAAAATCATGGAAAGAGAAAAAAATCGCAAGACCTAGCATTATCAAAACAAACCACTAAGGAATTGTAAATGCATAGACCCACTCTCCTTTTGGATTAGAGAAGATGGAATTACAATATTGATGTAGACCTACTGGTTCAATAATAATTGACTTAATATGCCACGAAGGCCATAGTTAATTGCTATAGAGGCAGCAGTCCATCATGTATGTTGTAGACAATGGTTGTTAGTGATATTTTGTCATAGATGTCGTAGTTGAAAGCCGTGCTAGTAGTTAGCCGTGTTGGTCGTAAGTGATAGCTTCAGGAGCGTCGATTGACCATGTCTTTCATAATAAGGAGTTGTGATAGCATTCATAGGCAGTAGTTGGTCATATAGGTTGTAGTGCTTAGCTACAATAATATATATAAACCACAGAGGGTGGAGATGGGAGTTGCGTGAGATGTGAGCTACATATACCATAGTTGATCACATAAATATGATGAGCCACAATAACTTCATAGGGCAGAGGCATGAGTTGAGAGTTGCATAAGCTATGAACCACGAGGGTCACAATTCGTCACGTAGACTGTAGTGGTGAGTTGTAATAATGTATATAAGACATAGGCTAGATGTGTGAGCCACATAGACCATAATTGGCTACTTGTATGTGGAGTATGATATTACACCGTCTTCGTGGTGGGTCGTTACACTGACTTTGGGGTGCAACGTTGCACCATATGTTAGGCTCATCAATGCACCGTATTCAAGGTGTATAGTTACACCATATTTGGGGTATGATTTTACACCGTATTAAGGGTGTACTATCACACCACGTTAAGGATGATGCACTATTACGTAGATTGTTTCATTAATCTACTACATTGGTCCTTACTATGTATGGTGCTTTGTTATTTTGCAACATACGTCATGACTCTTTAATGGGCTTTGTTTCCAATGAGCAGGGACAACCAACGGTGGTCGACGAAGATTAAAAAATAGTGGTCGGCACTGCGGGAGCAGAAGCATTTGTGGGGTCTTTGATCCAGAACCGCACTGGAATTCGACTCCTCCCGATTCAACTCTAGCTCTACGTCCATCTCTTATTTTCCTTTCATGAAGAGGGTAAGACTCTATTTATATAATCTGGGAGAGACCTCCTTGCAAATAAGAAGGGAGTCCATACCACTTCATCGGACAATCCAGGAGATTCCCTTGATCTGTTGATATTATTTTTGGATACTTAAGTACCTTAATGATGTTTGAATTAAGTGATCTTGGGTTAGTTGGGCTCGTCGTGTCAAGACATTCGATTTGACTATAAGCTTGTCAGATTTGGAATACATTTGACATTCCAATTAAGAATAAAAAAATTCTAAAAGTGGCCTAAGAACTTGGTTCAGGCTTGATTTGACTTGAATTGGATCAATTTTAGTGCCATTGGGTCCATCTCGTTGAGCCAGTCATTCTGACTGTTAGTTTGCTGAAATCAGAGTTTTGGATGATCTATATTTAGATTTTGAATATTTCTTACTAAAAAAAGCTCCAAGACTCATTCTAACCGCCTCGAGATTCATTCCAAAGAACAAATCTCATTGATGATGTATCAATAACATAGGATTGTTATCATAATAAGGGATGATTAATGCATTTGAATCTAAAATATAAAAATTTTATTTACAAAACGGTCAAAGAAGAGATCAAGATGATGAGGTGTTAAAAGGGATTATAACAAAATTTTATTGTATATAGTTTTGAGAGAATATAGATTTAGGTTTCGGCAATAGGATAAACCCTAAACCCTCAAATCATGTGTGAAGAAGAGCTTTGAGGAGTGAAGTTCAAGCAACGTTTCTTTGTTGAAACAATTATAGGAATTTGAGGGGAATTATACATAGAGATGTAGTCTAGTCGAGTCAAGTATGTTAGGGATTAGACTTGGCTTGATTAGATCGTAAGTTGTTCATGTTCAGTTTGAGCTTGGACGTGCTTCAAAAATATGTTTATACTTGGCTTGCTTAAAATTTTTAATGTTCACACTTGATTTGTACATGACTTATTTATATTAATTAAAAGTTAAAAATTGAAATGAGTACTTAAATCGTCATTTAAAACTAAACATTTGATTTGTACATGATTGTTTCATATAAAAATAGTAAACAAAACAAAATTTTAAATATGTATTTGATTTTTTATATAATTTTTTTAGCAATTGGTCTTACGAATTTAAATAATTAAGCAACATAATAGATTTTAATTACATCTAACTTGTTAATACCAAGTATATAAGATAATATATAAGTTGCAAATAAGTTTTTTGAAATCAAGTAACATAAATTACTACTAAAAAACTAGTTTATTGACATAAATCTCCGAATTTATATAAATTGATATTAAATTATAATATATTACTATTAAATATATTATTAAATATGTTCTAATTAGTCAAACTTTATTTAAATAATATATCATGCAAGTATAGAATATTTAACAAGTTATTTATTGAACAATAAACAAATTTGTTCATGAACTTTTTTATTTACTAATTTGAATTATTTGAGCTTCGAGTTTTTAAAAAATGATTGAACTTGTTTATTTACTAATTTGAACAAATATTATCCTTTATTAATCGTCTCAAATTCGAGTTGTTCTTCAAGCGCATTGGCTCATTTACAACCCTAATTATACCTCACACTTCAATAATTCTGAACTAAAATTTTTATATCAAATTTTGAAAATTTAATTATAGGATATATATATTTACCATTTAAACTGAACTTATCACCAACCTGTTGTTGAATCCCACCTGCAAAGCAAAAAAGCCGAAAAAAAAAGAAACAAGAAGGCATGATTTATAGGCCATTTAAACTAAAAATATCACCAACCGGTTGTTGAATCCCACCTTGCAAAACCAAAAAAACGAAAGAAAAAGATTAAACTAAAAGTCATGGCTTACAGGCCTAGAAAACCAGTTCGAATCGTCGGTTCGACAGGTTCGACAGGTTTGACCGTCCAGCTCAGGCTGACTCAATAACAGACATCTGCATTGAAACGGATTGAGCTGACCTGAAACCTGCAAAAAACAGCCCTTGTTTTTTAAAATTTCAGTTTTTAAATTTTTTATAAAAAAATTAAAAAGTGGCACTTTCAATGTGATATGAAAGAATTGGATGGTATAAATGTAAAAATTAAAGAATATATGTTAGATATATAAATACAAGACATGAGTAAGATATACATACATACCCCTAAAATTTTTTAAAATTATTAGTGTGATTCTTATATTTCATATTTAAATCTTTTTAAATTAATTGTTATTAATTTTTAAAATAACATACTATAAAATTATTATCAAGTTAGTTATATAAATATTGAGATATTTATTTTATATTTTACAGTCAATTTTATTTCAAATTACATCATTTTTATCACATTTAAATAAATTTATAAATTAGTAAGACATTCGGTTGAATCATAATTCATTCTCAATTTAATTTTTCAATCTTGAACCTTTTGCTTTACAGATTCAATATAAATATCCGGTCCGATATTGCTGAAGCAGTTTAATAAGTTGATTGACATACTTGCCGAATTCATGTTGCCCTGGGCTGCTGAAGTTGTCATCGCCGTTTGCTATCTAAGGAGGGGAGAGGAGGAAAAATTAAGGAGACGGTGTTTCTCGTATAGGAGTATCAAGTGAACGGCAGCACACTTCGAGGCAATACCTAAGCCGATCTCGATCGTCTTCTCTCTTGGTCCTCTTCCTCTTTAAGGAGAGGGAATAGTGAGTGTGTCCAAGATGGTTGTAGTTGGTCACGGGGGCAGTGAGGTGCCCAGGGCCCACATGGCGATGGCGACGGTGCAGGTGATCGCCGCTGGCTATCACGTTATCGCGAAGCTTGCGCTTAACGTTGGAATTAACCAGGTGGTCTTCTGCGTCTTCCGCGATCTCCTCGCACTTTCCATCCTCGCTCCCATTGCTTTCTTCCGAGACAGGTTCTCTTCTCCTTGCCCCTCTTGTCGTCAAATTGGTTGTGTGCGATTATAGGGATTGTCCTGATCTCTCTTGTTATGACTATCGTTTATGAAAACAGTCGTTACATAGCATGTTTCTCTGCCCTATATTTCTTACTTGATTACTGTTTTCTTATCATTCCGTCTTATTTGAAGATGTGCTTCTCTTGTCTGACTCAGTCCTAATGGTTAACAGAAAGGTTCGAGCTCCAATAACATCCCGTCTTCTTCTATCATTTTTCATTTTAGGATTGACAGGGTATGCTGATTGTTTTATTTGAATTGGGATATATGCTAGGAGTGTTTTGCAGATGAAATAACTGATATTGGAAAAAATTTTCCTAGGATTTTTGGTAACCAGCTTTTATTTCTTATGGGCCTTAGCTACACAAATCCAACATATGCTGCAGCTATTCAACCTGCAATACCAGTGTTTACATTTATTTTGGCTGCAATCATGGGGTTAGTTATAATGAGTTCAAGTCACAACATTTCAGAACTCTGAGTCTACATTCTCTCTTTGCTCATCTTAGTTGAATTTTGTATAATTGCAGCACTGAATCGGTTAACTTCCGCGTGTTGGAAGGTCAACTAAAGATTATAGGCACACTTGTATGCGTGTTAGGGGCTGTACTCATGGTTTTGTACAGGGGTCCAGCTATATTTGGAAAAAGTGGCTTTGATTTGATCGCCTATAATGAAATAAGTGCCAGGTCTCAGCCTGAACCGTCTGGATGGTTACTATCTTCTTTGAATGAATTCGGGGTTGAACAATGGCACATTGGTGTCATATGTTTAATTGGAAATTGTTTGTGTATGGCTATTTATCTTTCTTTACAGGTACTGAATTTAGAACCAACCATTTTCCTTTAGCTTGAATGAATTATTTCTTTTTGTCACTCATTATAGTAACTAATACTTATATATGTACCTATAAAAGTCTTAGAAAACTATAGTACATACCTCTTACCCATCTTATATCACCCATCAAAATACTTCTATGAATAACAATCGAACTAATTAAGAATTGTGGTGTTAGTTACCTTATTTTTATATTTGTGTGTAGAGCTCATATATATATATATATATATATATATATAGGAAATTACCTCTATGCAGCATTTATGGGTTGGTTTATATCTGATTATTTTGTATTTCAATTTACACAATTTTCAAATACTGATTTGTATAATGCTTTTCCTGGCATCAACCTGTTGTTTGGATTTTTTTTTCTGCAGTTCTGGAAAGAAATTCTTTGAAGCTAAATGCATATTCAATATATTTATCTTTCTTTTTACAAAATATTGTATTTTCTTGTAAACGTAGATCTTGTGGCTAAAAAATTGCGTTGACTAAATTTAACACAAGATGCAATAACAGTCAACAAACAACATAGGTTAATGAAGATGAAGCATTTACAAATTTAATCCTAAACTGTTTAGATAAGGATAATGATAATGATGGTATTAAATTAAGCTCAAGTGGTTGAATTCCTCCTCCATTTCAATGAAACAAAGAAAAAAAAAAGATAAATGATAGAGCAGTGTCTAATGTAACTTGTGCCAGACATTTCAAGAGGTGCCTTAATTAAGTTTTTTACTGCATTTGATTTTAATGGAAAGATATATGGGCAAATGTTAAACCAAAAAAGGATGGCAATGAGTCGTGGATTGCCAAACTTTCCTCTTCGCGGTTACTTAAAAAAAAATTTACTACTACTTTTCCCCCCCAAAAATTTCAATGCAATTGCTTACATGCCTGAATGCTATATTTTAGTCTTTTCCAGTAAGTTAGTTTTGATTCATTGGGGAGTGTTAAAGCTATAGTACTCAGGTTTGTCATTCAGTTTAGGGAGGTTTACCAATTTTATCATACAAGACCATCAAATTAATTCTTTTACTATAAAATATGGGGATGGTGGCGTTTTTATTTTTAAGAACCGTCTTGCCTTCGATTTTAGTAGTTAGACTTGGATAACAGAGATGATTTTGTTGATTGTTTATGGTGTTTTCATGTAATCAGTTTGAATCCCATATTTCTCCATTCTCTGCTATGGGCTACCCAAGGCTACCCAAGCAATTTTTGAATGATTTTTGAATGAAAAAAAAAAAGTAAAAACTGTTATGCTATTCAGAATGCATGTGGGGTAGGTTTTACGGGGTAAGGGTGATTTTGTTAGAAGACTGTTGCCTCCACACCTTATCATAAATCCATTTGTCATATCTCCTTGAATAAAATTATTTACCTATTATGAAAGGCTAATGATAAATTGTGTCATTTTGATTGTTATGATTATTCAAAGTTCTCTTTTCTCCTTTGTTCTCTACAATGTACTAATCCAAAACTTTTCTCCTGTTACTTGTGTTTCATTTCCTTAAATTGTGATCTGTTCGTTTTGAAGTATTTTTTTATAATTCTATAATGTGATGGTTAATAACATGGATACTTAAAGGCTCAATTCTGCTTGTTGTGAGATTTGGCCTTTAGAGCTGATAAATTAAGTTATGATACAATTAACAGAAGATTGAAATTCTTTTGGCATTTAAGTTGATATGTTGTTGGACAAACTGAGTTTCATGTCACACCAATTCTTGTTAATATAGCAATTGGATAATACTACTGTTCCTGTTGTCTTATTTAACAAAGCATGCTTTTAATAAATGAAAATCTTCAAAAAAACAATACTCAATCTATAAAGAGCTATTGTATTATTGAAAATATTATTATCTCCCATACACCTTCCTCTTTCATTTCTTGATTTTATTATTTTTACTTTCAATAATTCTTTCAGGCTCCAGTTTTGGCAAAGTTTCCTGCCAGCTTGTCTGTGACAGCATACTCTTATTTCTTTGGTGCTTCCTTGATGTTGTTAACAGGAATTTTCACAACAACCGATTCAGTCGATTGGATGTTGATAGAGTCTGAAATTATTGCAGTTCTTTATGCGGTGAGTTATCAATATTTATTTAATCTGTAATTTTCTTTTTGAATTGATATTCTCTTACTTGCTATAGCTCTTATTAATTTAGTATCATGGTATTAAACACTTGTTCTCATATGTACCACTTTTCTTGGGTCCAATTTCTGTCTTTTTTTAAATACAGAACCAAGTCACATTAACACTTTAAGCTTTTAGCTATGAAGAGCTTACAATTTCATAGTTTTTAGGGTTTAGATTTTTCTTTAAACGAAACAATTTCTCTGGCTCGATTTTCGTACTGACACCACTTTCTCTTAGAGTAAGTTTCATGCAACTTTGCCATTTTGAACATTTAATGTGCACTTTTTTAACATTTTAGAGGAAAATTCTTTCATACGATCAACAGATTATTCTTTACTGAACTTGCTCAAATTTAAACGCATTGCATGCACGATTGGTTGCGACTGTCAAATATTTAAACTATTTATTATGATACATACATAAGAAAAAAAATAAAAATAATAAGGTGCCTAAATAGATGTTAAAACCCTTTTTCCCAATTTTTACTGACATTTAAAATCATTTTTAACCAGCCAAAAATGTGTGATTTAGCCATCCAACTTATTTGCTTATTTCTGATATTTTCTTTCTAAATTTCCCTGAACTTTTTCAATTAAAATCATTTTATATAATGTTATACCCAAAGAAGTAATGAATGGCCGATAGGTATAGTCAAATTAGCTTAGTGAATTAGACTCAACCCAATCAACGTCTACTTGTCTCTTTTATAGAAGAGACAAATGAAGGGCACTTCATTCAGTTCTAGAGTATGGACATTGATTGTCAGGGTTGCTTTATTGTTGAAAATGGTTAGGGAAAGTAATAAATCTTATGGTTGTATATTAGAAAGCTTGATTATAGGGAATCTAATAAATATATTTTCTATATTAGGTAACCTAATTAGAGAAGATTTAAAATTTTTCTTTCATTAGTGATATTCATAATCTATAGAGATTAGAGTGTATATAAATATGTAACATATATTTTCAATGAATAAAAAATGAAAGACTTGCTTTCCTTCACATAGTCTGCTCCTCGATGTGGCTTCGTTCCTCACATGCAAATGCAGCTTCGTTTGTGTCATTCGAATCACCATCATTTTGAGAACACGGGCTCCGTCCGTTAGCCTGTAGGCTTCAACTCCTCTTGCCAACCCCCTCGGTGCCCTAGTTCAGCTATCGAATATGATGGCATCTTGAAGTTCCCCATGCTCTAGATCTTACAATCAATTGAATTGGTGCACGAGAGTTTTCGATCGCGGAGCTACTTTTTGTTTTGATGCTTCGAATGTTTTCAATCTAGAGTACTTCGAAGGTTTTCGATTATGGGGGTTTATTGACCTTACTTGACAGTTTTGTAGTTCTCAACCGGGAAGTTGTCCTTATTTTTGAGTTTATTCTAAGAGTTATAGTTCTTGTAGTTGGAGCAAACTTCAATGCTAACATTACCTATATGAAACCTACAAAAATTGCGAAAGCAATAATCTAAATTAATGACCCTTGAAGAGGGTTGAGAATAGTTATATTTTCTGGCCTCGCGGGACCAACTAAACAGTGAAATAGGAGAAAGAGTAGCTTGAGATAGAGTCTAGGGTGTCAGTTAAGCAGGGAGGCTGGACCGACCGACTGACTATTGGGCGGGAAGTACGCCCCTTCGCCACCCCTTCTGCTACCTATCTTATTATATTACTTATTGTTTTAGCGTTCAATTTTTTGTTGAAATTTCTGTTTGGATAGCCGTCGCGTTCCCATTTCCCTTCTAGAGCTATATTCGACGGCAAGAAGGTGTTCCAGCTGTAACTTGTCTTAAGTAGTATGTATATTCCCCTTTTCACCAACCATGTTGCCATTTGTTTGTACCCTCCACTTCTTAGTTTCCCAGCCGCAATCCCCTCCGACCGACTAGACAACCACCATAATTCCCCTTCACACCTTACTGTCGTTACCGTCAAACCCTCACTGCCTTCCAGTGTTTTCATCCTTCCAGCTAGCACGCCCTGCTCACTTTCTCTTCAGACCCATCCGCACATACCACTACAGTCCTTCCTCCTGTTGCCACCCCCAACTAGGCCAGCCTCCCTTTGCCATTAGTCAGCCCATCCCTTCTTCCCCCTCCACAACCAGGCCAACACCCTGTTGTCATACCTGGCTGCCCCATTGCAATCACCATTCTTACTACTCTGATCACCTCCCTACCACCAACGACAAACCCCAACAACCACCTTCTGAACCCTCGAATCGCAGTACCTTCACCTCAAGTTATACCCTAGTTTGTGTTGTGTTGTTGTTTCTTGTTTTCAAGTGTTTGTTTATAACCTTTTTGAATTTCAGGAATTATATTTATATTTCTATTGTGGTTTGGGTTAACTCCGTTATCATTTGATATCATAGCTAGTTTATACCTAGTTCTATCATTAGGTTTCCTAGCATCCACCTTACCCCTCCACCAAAAGTTTTCTTTCTTGTTCCCAAACCATAGATAAATTTTAACTTAACCCTAATTTTCCTACTCCGTCAATTACTCTCATACACCCAGTTTCACCACGACTCCTAAACCCTTACCATGTCACCAAGGAGATACATGTCGCACCCTATTCGAGATGAGATGTAGCGGAGATTCGTCGCTTTCAGCAAAGACTGACCAAGATGGATGATGGGATCTAGGGGGATATTATCCTCAACCGAGATCTGGAGGGTCGAAGGGGAGAAAGGGACAAGAGATTTGAATCTGTTCCATTGAGAAGACTTCACTGATGAGGAATAGAGGCCCTGACACTTCGGAATTTAGTATCAAACAAGGCCGCAAGAGGAGACCTTTCGGAGGACAGAGATTTCGACATTAAGTGGATCTACTGGAGTTTGTAGGTATGGATCCATACTATTTTCTCGACTGACTGCAATCTGTCGATAGAATCTTTGAGTATAAGGATGTGTCAGAGGATAAACGAGTAAAACTAGTAGCCATCAAGTTGAAGAAGTGTGCCTCCTTGTGATAAGGAAACCTATAGAGGCAGAGAAAGAGAGAGCGGTGATAAGATCGCCAAGTGGGAGAAGATGAGGAAGGGTATGTAGAGGTAATACCCCCGCCACCCTACCACCTTCAGGATAAGACCCCCCTGCCGAGATATTTATCTCTCTGTCTATCCTTTTGGCTGTTGTCAATCACTTCTCCAGCTCCTACAACAGACCCCCACATCTTCTATCGTCTCCCCACAACCGCCAGCAACCTTCTAGCTTGCCACTGTTCCTCTAGCTTACTTCTTACAGCTCCTTGCAGGCTGCAGTCCCCTCTTCCACTGCTGTCAGGCACCTTCCTGCTCTCGTCCAGCCACTACAACCCCCTCATCCACTGCTACTAACCACCTTCCTGCTCCCATCCAGCCACTGCAACCCCTCCAACTTGCTGTCCAGCCCTTTTAGACCCTTCCTGGCAGCCCTCTGGCACCCTACAACAACTGCCGTATTGTTCTGGCTTTTCCCATCGTTGTCAGTGCTTCCCCGTTCGTTGACCACTCTCCGAAAGTGTTGGCAAATCTTCTCAGCTACTATCCTACTTCTTCCATAGCTGCCCCCACTTCTCCGACCTTCACCGCAACCACCGATCCAGCCTCCAATGACATTCTTGCTTCTTATAAGTTACGGTTTGACGTCGTTACTATTGCCAATCTGCTGTCCTACTTTTTCCACAGTAACCCCCACCTCTCAGGCCTTCACCATAGCCGCCAATCCAGCCTACCCTCACCGGACTCCCTTCTAATCAAGCGTGTTGTGTCTTCTTTGTTGATTCATTAGTTGTAATCCTTCGTTTTGTGTTTTTGTTTTTTGTATTATTTTTCGTTATTTTGAGCCTTCATTGTAATCCTATTTTAAGTCGATAGTAAAATTGTGTCTTGCGTAGTAGTTGGGTTAACTCCGATATTATGTATGCTCACAAGTGGAGGAAAATCCTTAGGTATTTTGGGGATGGTGCAGTCGCTAGTGGGATCAAGGTGTTTTTCATATCATAGTTGAGGAGACTCAAGTCCTGGGAGGTTCCAACAGTTCCATCACCGACAACGATAGACAGAAGCTTCGACGAATGAGGCTGAAGCTCCCCTAATCTCAGGTGACTGACGCGAGGGTTTCACGGTGAACTGATCGGTTCAGTGGGAGCAGGGAGGTTGGATCGGTCGGCTGACTATTAAACAAGAACTACACCCCTTCCCCCTCCTCCTCCCCTTGCCTATCTTATTATAAATATGTTGCTTATTGTTTTAGGGTTCAATTTTGGGTTAAGTTTATGTTTGGAAAGCCGTCGATGTCCCCCTTTTCCCTTCTAGAGTTGTATGTGACTGTGAGAAGGTGCTCCGACTGTCACTTATTCGAGGTGATGTGTGCTTACCATTCTCTCTTTGCTGCCATTTTCCTGCATCCTTCCTTCTCTCTCTCCCAGTCATTATCCCCTCCAACCGACCAGACAGCCACCGCAATACCCCTTCCTACCTTACTACTGTTGCCATAAAACCCTCCCTAATCTTCCAGTGTTTCCGTCCTTCTAGCCAGCGTGCTCTTCTCCCTATCCCGTCAGACCCAACCGTACATACCACCTGCAATCCTTCCTCCTGTTGCCACCCCCAGCTAGGCAACCTCCCTTTGCCATAAGGGTTATTTTTGAAATATGCTTTTCTTGGAGTTCAAAATTTGAACTCCATGTAACTTGTACTTTACTTGGGAAAGAAATCTATTCCAAATATTTTAATAATTAAAAGTAGAGCACAAGGTTAGTTATATATAAGTTGGAGTTACAAATAAGTATGCTTAATGTCAGTTAGAAATAAAGATGGTAGAGGACATGCTACAGATTGATTTTCACGTATGGAGTTACTAAATATTTAATTTAAAAGGTCTCTTAAGCTGGACTTAAACCTATGATCTATACCTTGAAAATCAAGGAGCATATCTCATAAACTAAAGCTTTTTGGTTTATATTTAAGTCTCTTTTTTGTTCTGGAAACATTGTTGTTAAATATGTAAATGACTTCAGAGCTCATGGGTCTTAAGAGTAAGGCTGTCAAAATGCTCATTATTTCTCAAACAGTTCATATTAGACGTGTTAAGAAGCTCGTTTTGGGTTTGTTTGCTAAGTTAATGAGTCAAACACGAACAATTTTCCTGCGCTCGATATATAAACGAGCCGAACACGAAAAAATATTTATTCATATATATATATATATATATATATCAAAAGGAGGTATTTGGAAATACCGTCCTTATATATATATAATGGGCACCTATGGCATCGTCTTCCTCGCTCGGCTCTGCTAAGGTTTCGCCCGATGACGAACACTAGCAACAGTTACGGCTTCGCTCTCTCGCTCGTGTGTTTCCTCTCGGCTTCTTCGCTCTCAATTCTGTTTGTCTCCCCCGTTTCTTCTCCGGCTCTGAGACGAGGCTCGTCTCCCGCTCGCGTGTTTCTACGCTCGATTTTGCTCCTCTGCGACGCGTCTCGCCGCTCGCTGTTCTGCGGCTCAACCTCGCGGAACTGCTCGCGATCGCTATTTCTGCGTTCTCTGCGCTCGTCCCTTCTCACTGCGTCGTCCCCTTTTTTAGCTTCGGCTATTTCGACGCGATTTTTTCGCTCGTCTGCTTTCTTCTCTAAATGTCGCACCTTTCCTTGAGGATGATTTCGGACAAATCATATGCAGCTACCATTGCCAGTGTCCAAGCCTCAGGCACACCAAAATCATCATCTTTTCCTCCTTCGTTTGAGTGGGCGGAGGACATCAAGAAACCTACTAGGAAGAATGAAAAGTCTGCCATCTTTTTTACAGAAGTTAAAGGTATTCAACTTGCTTACTCCTGTCGTCTGAATTTAGTTGGGAAATTTCCGGTGTTAGATATGTAAATATATAAGAATTGTGTGGTTTATATGTAAATGCCCCAATTAAATAGTTGTTGAGGATAGAATGAAATGGAGATATAGAGTTTCAGATGAAAAGAGAAGAACAATAGCGAAAGTTTATGCATGGAACCAAACTAAAGATTTATCTGGAAGATTAATCTATACGTCCACTTCTTTTGATTTGTAGTGCATTTTCTCGCACGATTATAATCAAATCAAAAGGATTCGTCTCCCTGGTCTGAAATTTTATTATTTTCTTCAAAAAGTGTTGTGTTCTATTGCCTCAGCTTATAGTAGCTTATGGGAAGCCACTCAAGACGGACATTCCTACCCTTAATTTGTCTTGTCCTTCTGAAGCAGAGTACTTGTTGAAAGAGACATCACTTCACCCGCTTCTGACCCGCTTCTGAGGAATCTGGTTGAGCACACAACATCAGGGATATTGGCAGAAGGTAGAGCTCGAACATTTTCCATCGTATTGTTCGAACTGTCGTATGTTCGGACACTCCAGTTCTCAATGTCATTATCTACACCCCCAACTCAGACCAAAAAATCAAACTGCTCCGCTAGAGGCTGTGATTCCATCTTCTCATGACCAGGCAGACTATATGACAATTATTCAATCCCCAGTTGTAACTCCCTCTTCTTTGGACCTCCTATCATGGGGGAGAAGGAGTTTCTTCAGACCTCGTCTGCCCTAGAACTTATCACTGATAATACAGGTGAAAATACTTCTACTGCTTCACAATCGCCTCATCAGGTTCAGAAAAATAAAAACATCAGGTTCAGAAAAATATTAATATTACTCAGGCTCATGGGGATCAAGACGTGCAACGACCTACACCTATCCGACCACCTTTGGAATCTACTGATCAAATGAATTAATCATCGGATGAGGAATGACAGGTCTACAAATCTAGGAGGAAGAAGAAAAATGAAGATCTACTTGAGCTTAGGAATTTGATGGATGATACTTTGGTTACTACGGGCAATGATACACACCTTACCAATTTGTTAGCCTGCTCACTTCCGAGAACTAGAGGCAGGAGGACTAAAATGGGACGTCCCTAGCACTTTTGTGCTCTTTTGTGGCTTTTTGGTTTTTTATATTTTTGTATTTTTGCTTTATTTGGGTTTTGTGTGTGATGTATTGTATGAGTTGGGCTTTCTTTTAGGTTCTCTCATACAACATTTTTGTATCTTTTTCATATTAATATATTTGTCTTCGGGCTTTTTCATATATATATATATATATATATATCACACCTTACT